AAGAATATAATTAGGATTTTCAAAAATTTTAATAAAATTATTTAAGAAAATTCAATTTTTTATGAAAATTTTTTAATTTTTGAATAATTTCAAATTCAAACTTTTAAAAAAATTCAATTATTAACTGATTATTCTTGTTTATTAATTTCAAAAATTTTAAGAAAAATTCTTCGCAAGAATTCAATTATTTGCATAAATAATAACATTCTTCGTAAGAATTCAATTATTTTTACAAATTTTTACAAATCTTTGCAAAAATTCAATTTTTTTTAGTAGAATTTCAATTTAATTCATCAAAATAATTAACTTTTTAAAAAATATTTTGCAAAATTCTTCTAAAGAATTCATATATTTTCAAAACAGTTGATAAAATTCTTCCAAAGAATTCAATTATTTTCAAAAATAATCCAATTTTTTAAGGATATTTAGTTGTTTTCATAAATAATAAAAAACATTTTAGTTTTTCAATTATTTTCATAAATAATAAAACTCATCCTAGAATTTCAATTATTTTTAATACAATTTTAATGGAATTTCTCGAAAAATTAAATTATTCTTAAAAATTTTATTAAAATTCATCACAGAAATTCAATTATTTCGAAAAATTTTAATAAAATTCTTCAAAAAAATTTCAATTCTTTTCAAAAACTTTTTCTCAATTCAATCAAATTTTTTATACAGAGATTCAATTATTTTTTATACAATTTGAATCTAATTTCTCAAAAAATGAAATTATTCTTAAAAATGTTATTAAAATTCATCAAAAAAATTTGTATTACCTATTTAAAAATTTGTTGATAAAATTCTTTATGAGAGTTAAATTTTAAAAAAACATTCAATTCTTCAATAAATTATTTTTTTTATTTAAATAATTGAATTCTCGTTGAATTTTCTAATAAAAATTGATTTAAATATGAATTTCAATTTAAATTTTAGATAATAATTGAATATTAGACTCTCTAAATTTGAATTAGTAAAAATGTTTTCTAATTTTAATTAGTGACTCACATTTTGCTTTTAAATTAACAAATTTTAGTAATAGATAGTCGTTTCTACTAATTTAATAGTAGAATTTACTAATTCAAAAGCAAAAAGTCAGTCACTAATTCCAATTAGTAAATATTTTTACTAGTTCAAATTTAGAGAGAAAGTATTATAATTTTTAGAAATTGAACTTTGAAAAGGTTTCAAATTATAATCTTTGAATGTTTGAATTTTTTATTATTTTAACTAAAAATTGTGTATATTTAATTTTTTTTTTAAAGTTAAATTGAATTTTTTTTAAGTTATTTGAAGTTTTTATTTTCTAATACATATTTGACTGAAGAATTTCCGAATAATCGATGATATTTCGTAAAATTAAATTGTAAACAAAAAGATTTGAAAATTTTCAATGAAATTTTTCAAAAATTATTAAAATTATAATAATAATACCTAATTAATTTAAAAAGGAATTTTAGTTAAAAATTCTGGAAAAAAATAATTGAATTGATGAAAGTAGTTTCGAATAAGTTACAGTAACAATATTCTTTTAATATAAAATAATTGATTTTATCAGTCGGTCATCTTTAATAATTAATTAATTATTATAAAACATGAAGATATCGATTGCTCCGAGTCGAAGACTCGGAGTGATCGATTTCTTCATATTTTATAACAATTTTTTATATAAGTTATTTAATTTCAGAAATGTTTGAATTTGAATCTTTTGATGAATTTTAATTTCGAATAGAAAAAATTATAATGACTAATTATTTAATTTTGTAAAATATAAATTTATAGTTTAAAAACATGGAAAAATTCCTTTTTTTTTAACCTGGAAAAATCAGGGAATTTGAAATGAGCAAAAGCGTAACAACCCTGAAAAGAGAAAGAAAGAACGAGAAAAAGTTGAAAAAAGAAAAAAATAATAAAAAAAGAATAAAATAAGATTCTAATAAATATGACATGAGTCCATATAAATATTGAATGTGTTATAAAAATAAATGTACATATATTTAACGAATACGTTTGTATTGCAGCACGCTTTCAAGAGAGACACACGGAGAGACAGAGAGAGAATAAGAGGCGCGTAGAAGAACAGAATGCCCGTAAAAACAGGGCCGACAGCTGAGTGTACACAGGGGGGAGACTCTTCTCTTTTGGCTCAACTCTCGCCGCTCTCTTCTTAGTTTCCTCGTGTTCTACCCAGTTATATCATTTTTCTCCCCCCCCCCTCCCTTGTCTCCTCACATTTCTCAATGGTACTAAACTCACTTTTAGTCTACCTCTCTTTTTTACCGTCAACATTTTAAATCTACCCCATAATATACCCCTACCTATATTTCCTCCTCCCTTCCACCCCCTTGAAGCCATCATGCCTATTGCACCTCTGGACCTATGCAAACAGCGTGGTATTCATTGGCTGACATGTACCGGGTCCTATATACGAGAACGTGTCCATATGATTTAATGGATAAGGAAACCACCATTATACACATCCTCGTATGTAATAAAACGTTACGGGATTTTTCGATTAATCGCGCTTGACTCGTATACTATGGCAGCTTATAAACTCGTCTGCGGAACTTGGAGGAAATTTTCTTTTTTGTTCGCGGGAAAAATTTTGGAGAATTCATTATTATACAAGATTTGATCACAGAAATTGAATTCTTGATATCTGGTTCTCTTAATCATTTCAATGCAGCTAAAATTATGTTTCTAGACCAAATATATAATTTATTTGTGTTATATATTTGTCGCAGAATCTACTAAATTATTTATTTGTTTTCAATGCAAATTTTGTTCGACACAAATAAAATTAATGCAAAGTAAACTTAGTTGGTACGAAAAAAATTTATTTGAAGTAAATAAAATTTATTTGGAACAAAATAATTTATTTGGAGCAGAAACAATTATTTGAAGCAAAAAAAAATTTTTTGGAACAAGACAAATTTATTTGAAGAAAATAAAATTTATTTGGAACAAGAAAAATGTATTTGAAGAAAATAAAATTTTCCTGAAGCAAATAATATTTATTTGGAACATGAAAAATTTATTTAAAAAATTTTTCTGAAGCAAAAAAATTTATTTGGAACAAAAAATTTATTTGGAGCAAAAACATTTTTTTGAAGCAAAAAAAAATTTATTTGGAACAAGAAAAATTTATTTAAAGCAAATAAAATTTATTTGAAACAAGAGAAGTTTATTTAAAGCAAATAACATTTTATTGAAACAAATAAAAAGTGTATGTTCGAAAATTCTATGAAAATTAATTGGATTTTTAAGAATTTAGTTGGATTTTTTTTTGAAATAATTGAAATGTTCGAAAATTCTATGAAAATTAATTGGATTTTTTATAAAGAATTTTTGAATATTAAATAAATAAATTTTGAATATTACTTGAAAATACCAAATGAGGGAAGTTGATTAATTTTCTAAAATATTTTAGTTCTTTTTTTTGACAATTGAATTTTTATAAACAAATAATTGAAAAGTTTTGAAATAATTCCAATTTCCGAAAATTCTATTAAAATTAATTGAATTTTTAAAAGAATTTTATTCAACACTTGAAAATAATTGAAAGAAGTTCGCCACATTCATTTTCTAAAATATTTCCGTTCTTTTTTTCAAAGGTCATTGAATTTTTATAAACAAATAATCAAAAAGTTTTGAAATAACTGTATTTTCCGAAAATTCTATTGATAGTAATTGAATTTTTCGAAGAATTTTATAGAAATTCTTGAAAATAATCGAGGGAAGTTCGTCAAATTATTAATTTTCTAAAATATTTCTGTTTTATTTTTTTTTAAAGATAATTGAACTTTTATGAACGGAATTGAAATTTTGCAAAATTGGATTAAAAATAATTGAAGTTTTTTAAAGAGATTTTTATTGAAATTTTTAAAAATAATCGGTTTAATTAATTTTAATTTAAAAAAAGAAAACCTTGATGTTTTAATTCGCTTTTAAAAATGATTTTTGTTATATAATTGAACTCGCCTTGAATTTTTTTAAACATTCAGGAAAAAAGTGAAAATTTTATTTGAAAATCAGGGAAAAGTCGGAGAAAAACAAAATAAAATTTTTATTGCGCAACTTTATTGCTATGGTGGAAATTCTCCATATAATCAAAGATCGCACAAGCGTAGAAAATAAATTCTCCTCCACCCTTGATATATATAAAAAAATTCCCTTGGGTGAATCCCCAAACGCTTATTCGTGCAGAGACCAATAAGGTCACCCCCCCAAGTCTCTCAATCCTCAGGGTAAGAATCATTCCCTGAGAGTAAAGTTTTAGATCTTTTTCCGAATGGCTGCTCATCCTCGCCTCCATCCCATATATACTCGCAGCAAATCGCGGTTCAGATTGAATGTTCAAATATGGCTACTCGAAAATAAATATACGAAAAGATGTGTGGGAGTTTTTTTCGTGAACCACATTTTATGATTAAAAATTTAAACTCTTGTTATATTTTTTTCAATTTTCACCTATAGAGGACAAATTTTTTCTTTTGTATTCACTGCGCGAATTGTCATTTAACCGAATTTTCGCTTGACCGATTTTTCCGTGATTTACAAATTTTACCTTAATTCAAATTAATGTCTATGGGAATTTTCTTTCTTGTTTATAATTTTTGAATTCGCGAGGAAAATCTTTTTTCTTTAAAAATTTTCGAGTGATGAAAATTTCTGACAAATGCGCGTTATTGAAGGCGCATTAAATTGAAAAATGTGTGAATGAATATTTTAGTAAGAATTATTATTTTCTATAATTGATTGGCACAGAATATTTCAAGTAATAATTATTATTGTCCAGAATTAATTGATATAGAATATTTCAAGTAATAATTATTACTGACTAGAATTAATTAACATAGAATATTTTAAGTAATAATTGTCATTGACTAGAATTAATTAAATATGGAATATTTATTATATATTTTATTTATAATATACATATATTTATTTATTTTTGAATATATTGGATTAATTATAAATAATTTTTTGTTCCGACGCAGGCAGGCAGGAGTTTTTCAAGATCTTCGGAAAAGAATTGATCGTGTTTGGCATGATTTTTAATAAACACCGCGGGATCAGACAGCCAGATGTACTATAGGCCTGTACTTGACTCGTTGTTCGTGGAGTACTCCCGGGGCTTATCGGAGCACTTTCGTACATAAAACTGGTGGATGGACAGGCAGGCCCTCTCACACATACACAGGAATATCGAACATATTACAAACCAGAGGAGAGAGAACGAAACGGACTCAATGCGAACAAAGCTTTACGCCATTGTTTTGTGCCGTCAATAATCCACTTGCCCCGACTTCGAGGACTCACTGCATCATCGGGGGTTTTGACTCAATTGGAAAGAGCAAACGAGGAAAAAACGTCAGGGCCCTTCTTTTCTGCAAAAAAAGAGAAAAAAAAATCATCTCTTCTTGATCCTGTGTTCTTTTCTTCGCTGGATGATTGTCGTCGCTATATTCTTTTGGCCTCCACGTAAGACAATTTATTTATTATTTTACTTTTTTCTTTTCGTTTCTTGATATTCGATTGATTGACGATTTATTCCTGAAACTGAAGTCAGAGAGGTTTCTAAAAATGAAAAAATGCAACGATTTATTTTGGCTTCAAGTGCTTGAATTTTTACTTTTGAAGTTATTAATTAATTAATTTTATTAATTTCAAAGAGTTGCATTCAGGAAAAATTTCTTATTTATTTTGAAACTGAAGCTTTTCCTAAATGCGTGAATTAATTTTAAATTCAGAACAATTTTAACAATTTTCAGGAGAAATTACACCGAAATATTTCTAACTATATCAAGAAAATATTTTTAAAATTCCATAAAATATTCTTTATTGTAATTATTTCTGAGTAATTCAATTGTTACAAATTATTTTGACGTTTCTAATTAATTCAAATTAGAAACGTAATCAAGTAAATTTTCTATTTTAAAACTAATGTATTCAAAATCATTGAATTCTTGCAAAGAATTTTATCAAAATATTTGAAAATAATAAATTGAATTCCTTCAAAGAATATTTATTTTTTATGAAATTAATTGAATTCTTCCAAAGAATTTTATTACAATTTTTGAAAAACCTAATTAAATTCTTTTGAAAAATTTCTTTGAATTTATTGAAAATAATGTAGTTTTTTTTAAAGATTTTAATTGAAAATTTTTACTAAATTTTATTACAAAATAAAAATAATAATTTAATCTTTTCGTGAAATTTTATTAAAATTGTATTCAAAATAATTGAATTCATTGGAAAAATATAATTGAATTTTTTTCAGTTAAGAAATATTAATTTTACAAATTCTAATAAAATCCTTCGATAAAATTCAATTATTTTCTAAACTTTTGATAACATTCTTCAAAGGAATTCAATTATTTTGATATTTGCTTTGTTTTATTTAATAAAAATTTAATATTGAAAATAATTGAATTCTTGCGAAGAATTTTATTATATTTCAGAAAATAATTGAATTCTTTGAGTTAGGAAATTTTAGTTTTAGAAACTCTAATAAAATTGTTCGGTAAAATTCAATTATTTTCCAAAGTTTTGATAACATTCTTCAAAAAAATTCAATTATTTTCAAACATATTTGCTTTCTTTTATTTAATGAATAAATATTGAAAATAATTGAATTCTTGCGAAGAATTTTATTCTTTAAAAAAATAATTGAATTTTTATGAAGAGTTTTATTATATTTTTAAAAATAATTGAATTATTTTGAGAAATTTAATTAAAAATGAATATTGAAAATCATTGAATTCTTGCAAAGAGTTTTATTAAAATTTTTGAATCTAATTAAATTCTATAGAATAAATTCTTTGAATTTTTTTTGAAAATAGTGGAGTTTTTTTAATAATCTTAATTGCAAAGTTTTAAAGTAATTTAATTCTATTATTTATTCTTTTAAGTTTTTAAAATAATCATGGTTGTATAGAATTGAAATTAAACATTTGATTATTGAATTTTATTAAAATTTTATTAAAAATAATTGAATTCTCAAGAAGAATTGTTTATAAAAATAATTTAATTCTTGCGAAGTTAATTAATAATTTCTTAGAAAAAATTTGTTTTTGACTTTTTACGTTCATTATTTTCAACAATTTTCAACTAAACTTCATCTCTGATGAATCAATTAATTTAAATAATTTTCCAAAAGTTTTTCTAGAATTCAATTATTTAAATACACAAACAATAAAAAATTCTTACAATTAATTTTTTAAAAATATTTTAAAATAATAATTTTCAATTTTGAAAAATTTCTCCAAAAATGTTCAAAATAATGCTGAAATGTTATTATTTTTGGAAATATGTAATTGAAATTATTAAAAATATTGAATTTTAAAAAATTAGAAGCTTTTTTTAATTTTTAAATTTACCTTTAAAGATTTTTTATTAAAATTTTTGATAATTTAATTATTTTCAAAATTTGCAATTAAAATTCTGCTAAAGTTGATTTTTAAAAATTGTAACAAAATACTTGAAATAAATTAATTATTTTCAATTAAATTATACAAAATTTTAATTATTCAAAAACAATTTTTGAAAGATTTGTTTATAGTTATTTTTCGTATTATAAAAATCAAAATAAGTTGCATTTTTTTACTAAAAATTGTGGTATTTTGTTGCAATGATTGGAAGAAAAGTCGAAAAAGTCGTAATTTTTGAAAATAAGTCGAAATAGTCCAAATTTTCTTAATTTGCCTGACAAACAATTTTTTTTCATGATATTTACCTGACTCAACTGAGAAAATTTTTTATTTAATGTGTCATGGAAATTTTATCATTTATCACCTGGAAATTATGGAAAAATCATTGAATTTTATTAGGAGATATTTATAGAAACCCTTTAGAAGCTAATAAAAGTGTTTAATTAGTTTATATATATATATATAATTTTTACCCTTTTGAGATGAGAGAGAGAGAGAGATCGCCAGGACAGTTAACGATGAACCCTTTTCCGGCTTTCTGGATTATATACTATCTGTCAGAGATGCTTGGGCTTAAAGTCTAGAAATTGGTATCGGATTTCCCAGGGAAGGAATCAAAGCGTCGGCAATCAAATGATTAAAGGCAGCTTCGCATGACTGGACAGGATAGCGCGAAATTCCCGACGGAAATCAAAGTCGTTGGCCATTCACCCCCTTATTCCTCTCTCTTTGGTCTCAGGGTATACCTTGGTACAACATAGGAGACGACAGAAGTCCTCTCCAAACCCTTGTGAACAACCAGGCTTTGCCCCGTGCCCAACAACCACCCATTGGGGGATGGCTGCTGCTGCTTCTGCTTCTAAGCTTCCTCTCTCTCTCTCACTCTCTCTGGCGTCTCGCATCCCTCTTGGCAAACACCAGCTAGTCTTGCAGCAGCACTGAATCCCGGGAATGTACCGGGTGCGGTCAAACCGACAGTTTACTGATTTATTGAACATTTTTGTCTTGTTGAGAAAATCTTGTCTCCCCGATGAAAAATAGCAAATAGTTAAATCAAAATATTATTTCCCGAAATGCGAAGATGTTTCCGAATTTTTCACTTTTTAATCGAAATTTATTGTTTTCTTGTAATTTAATCGAAATTTCAAAAGAAATTTTCAATGCAATTCGAATTTTCTTCTCGACGAATTTTAGAGAATTTAAGAGAAATTACAAATGATTGCAGAAATTCAATTATTTTCAAAAATAATAAAATATTTCGCGAAAATTCAATTATTTTCAAAAATAATAAAATTTTTCGCGGAAATTCAATTATGTTCAATAATTTTTAAAAGTTCTCGTCAAAATTTCAATTATTTTTAGGAATAATTAAATTCATCTCCGAAATTCAATTATTTTCAAAAATTTTTTAAAAATTCTTGGCAAAATTTCAATTATTTTCAAAGATTTTCCTCAATTCAATGATTTTTAATATCTACTATTTTAATAGAATTTTCGAACAGAATTCTATTATTTAAAGAAAATTTAATAAATTTTTAGCAAAAATTCAATTATTTTCAACAAAATTTTGATACAATTTCACGAAAGAATTCAATTATTTTCTAAAATTTTAATAAATCCATTACAACAATTGAATTATTTTTTTAAAACATCTTTGCAATAATTCAATTATTTTCAATAAAAATTCACGAAAGAATTCAGTTAGAATTCCTTGTAAAGAATCAATTATTCTTAATACAATTTTAATAAAATTTCATGAAAGAATTCAATTTTTTTTTTATTTTTAATATTTTTCGAAAAAATTCAATATTATTTTCAAAACAAAAAGAAATTCTTCGCAAGAATTCAATTATTTTCATAAATATTAAATAATATTTATGAAAATAATTGAATTCTTGCGAAGAATTTAATTAAAAATTTTAAAAATCCTAATTAAATTCTTTTGAAAAATTCTTCGAAGGAATTCAATAATTATTTTCGTAAATAATAAAATTCTGTTTAGGAATTCAATTATTTTCATGAATAATAAAACTCACTGCAGAATTTTAATTATCTTTATTACAATTTTAATCGAATTCTTCGAAAAATGTAATTATTCTTAAAAATTTGATTAAAATTCGTCAGAAGAATTCAATTATTTAAAAATTTATTGATAAAATTCTTTATGAAAATTCAATTTTATGAAATATGCAATTATTCAATAAATTCTTTTTTTGTATTTAAATAATTGAATTCTAATAGAATTTTCTAAAAAGTTATTTTCCATTCTCATGACGACAAAAGGTGTGAAATGAAATTTTGACGTTTATTTTTTCTACTTTGAAATACTTTCAAGATAGTACTCAATTCTGACTTCACAATTAACACTTTCAATTTACTTCTCTTATGACCAACTTCCGGTCGAACAACTTTTACAAGTGGTTGACGTGAACTCTGTAAACACACATGTGTCTAAAATTAAAAATGAATTTTCCTCTTTTTATTTAAATTAATAATTAATAATTAATAAATAACTAAATTATTGTCTTGAATAAAAAAAATGGTGCGAAAATCCGTCCTTATTTACAGACTTTTAAAGTCGAATAATAATCAAGGTCTGACGAAAAACGAAATTGTCAAAATACTTAAAGAAAAATATAATTTTCCTTTGAAAACAAATATTCGGGAAGAAGTTCGCATTGCCCTTCGTACGGGAATTGATTTCGGAATTATTAGTGAAGAAGATGAAAAATATAAGTTGGTGTTTATTTGAATGGAAAAACTTATTTAATTAGTGTTTTTATAGTATTTTTATTAGTATTTAATTTACTTTTAATTAATGGGCACAGCCCGTATATATTTAAATAAATAAATAAATAAATAAATGAGTAATAAAATAATTGTTTATCTTCAATAAGAAAATAAAATACAGTAAAAATTATTTTCCTCTATAAAGATTTGTTACACTTCGGGAGAAAAAGATTTCTAAGCAACGAAGAAGAAAATCAAAGTGTAAAAAATGTTCGACGAATAGTCAGGAAGAAAATTCGAGTCAAGTAAATAGTAATCAAA